TTCAACCTATGAATACAGTGATTGTCATGAATAGACTTTTCTAAAACCATCAGGAAATTTTATTTTATAATTGAGAGAACACAATAACTACACATCACAAGAATGTGTCATGATTTTCAAAACTTAAAAAGACACGTGGGAGTAGCATTTATAGCAATCAGCAGACTTAATAGCAACACACACGTCTCCCTCATGCTAGTCTTTTATCCCTTGTCTTCCTAAAGTCAAAGCATATTTGTTCTCTTGGGATGAATATTCTTTTGATAAAAGTATTCTATTTTATCTACACTGGGTGTTTCCATTTGCTCAAATTGGGTATAGTTTTGATACCTTTGGTTCATGAGACTGATTTGCCATTTTTTCTGGATAATACACTCTTTTTCTGGTTCCAAAGTCAAAGGTGCAGTCCCATTAATTTAATTGGGAAACAATTCCACTTTTATGTCTGTGTTTGTGAAAGATGGATTTTCAATCTTGAAATTTTCTTACACATGTCAGTTAAGTGTCTGTAATGTGTGTTTTCTTAATTTTAATACTTGTACTGTGTGAAATGATATAAAAATAAGCATAAATGATTAATAATTCTATTCCATGATGGCCACATGGAAGTTAAACTCCACATGGAGGTGCCATAAAACTCCCTCAAAGCCTCACATATACTAAGCCCTACTCAAACTCTGCACCATTTGTATATTTAGGGGATCACCTCCTACCACATAAAAAGGACTGCTACATGTGAGAGCAACCCTTTTGCCTTTTGGCTTCTTGACCTTTTTGTTTTCTGTTCTCTCTGGCCTCCTCCAACACTGTTTCCTCATAGGCAACTCTCTGACCCACTCATGACAGGTATCTCAGGTATCTCTCCAGGTGCAGATGCCCACACTAATTTGTGAGTGTATAAGCACTTTAACTTTAAATAAATCCTGCTGTCACTTGTAAAAAAAAAAAACAAAAGGAAGAATTGTACTGTGAATTATCTCAAATGAATTCTCTGTGTGTGAACGACCTTATGAGTTTATTACATGGTTTATTACATGAGTGAAGTGATCCTGGGTCATTAGCTTGCATCTGAATCAATTTACATCCGAATCTTATCTACTCCACATGCTCAGTCTGTCTTCCTGAAGTCTTAAGTCTCAGTTTAAATATTTTCCATTACTCCCTGTTGTATGCATCCAAATCAGCTTGTTACAACCCAGATTCCTGAGCACTGTATTTTTAGTTTCAGATGGCAAGCTCTGGAGTGGAACATAGAGTTTGCTTTTCTAACAAGTTCCTTGGTGATGCTGGTGATGCTTAAGGGATGACAACTCGAAGACTTCTTTTTTTTTTCTTAAAGACTTCTGCTCAAGGAACCTCCAATTAGTCTTCTCTCAACTGCATCCACTGACAGCTCAGGGCCTGCATATTTCATACAAATCCTCCCCCTTCCTCTCTGCCACATTAGTTTCAAACAAGTATCAGAATCACCTAATTTGATTGGTAAATATTTCAGCTCCTAACTAATATCTGAGGCCTGGGTTTTCCTAAATTGTTGACATGTAGATCACACAAAGTCAAAGCAACAATGTAGTGAAAATTCTTTTCCTGAGATCAGTACGATGCCATTGTTCCATCTCTCAGTTAATTTTTTGGAATAACTGCTCAACCATTTCACAGTTCCAAATACTTTATCCCAATACTTCAGCAGGCTGACTTTTAAATAGTATACACCCCATATACAACCATGGTATTGCTATCACCTTGGAGAACTTTAACAGTGATATGGTAATACTATGTGCATACATGGGTCATAATTAAATTTCATCAACTGTACACATAATATTCTTTTGAGAATTTGGAGAAAGAAAAAAATCTAATTCTTTCTCATCATTTGCATTCAGTTTTTATGTTTCTTTTGTCTCCTCTAATATTAAGCCCTCAAATCACTTCAAAACATGTGTTCATTTTGGATTGATGCATAACACCTGCCCTTATTTATGGCATTTAGTTGTGGTAGAATGAGAAGGCCATGCCAAGGTGGCCGCTGGCAAGCGAGCGTCAGTTACTCAGGAATGGCTTTGAAACCCACCTGGCAATGGAGCCTGCCTGGCAACAGGCTGTGGTTGGATGGCTTTGAAACCCACATGGCAAACGGAGCCTGCCTGGCAACAAGCTGTGATTGGATGGCTTTGGAAACTGTCTGGCAACAGGCTATGATTGGTTAGGGCATAGACTGCCCCTTGACCGGATTGGCTGGTCTTGGCTATATAAGCTGTTGTACCAACTGAAATAAATGAGTCTGCGGGCTGCTTGCCTCAAGCCGGCTTTCACCCAACTCCCAGGGTCTGTGTGGTGACTCCACGCCTCTTGCCCCCACCACGCTCCTCCTCTCAGAAAGGAATCCACTGCAACATTGTTGAGAAATCAACTGCAACATTTAGTATTGTAAGTCAGTACAGATACACAATGTAAGATGATCAAATCATGGCAGTTCTAGCACTCCCTTGTGCTCAGATAGTATCACTTCTATGTCTTCGGAATCTCGAGACCCTTCTATTCTAGTCATTTTGAAATAGATAATTAATTTTAGACTCTAGTTGTCCTCTGTACTATACAACACCAGAATACTTCTCTGCCTCAAAGTGGGTTTTGGTTCCCCTTATCCACCCATTCACTCTCCGAACTTCCACTTCCTCTTCCCATCCTCCAGCGGCCCTTATTCTACTTTCTACTTGTATGAGATCAACAATTTTAGCTTCTGCATATGAAAGAGAAAATATGGTATTTTCTAGATGTGCTTGATTATTTTTCCTAACACAATGCCCTCTAGTTCCATGTTGCCTTGAAAGAGTGGATTTCATTTTTTCCTTTTTTTAAAGATTTATTTTTATTTATTTTAAAGGCAGAATTATGAGGAGAAAAAAAGAGAGGGAGAGAGGGAGAGAGGGAAAGAGGGAGAGGGAGAGAGAGAGAGAAATCATCAATCTACTGTTTCACTTTCCAAATGGCCACAACTGCTTGGGGCTGGGCCAGGCTGAGGCCATTAATTTCAACAGAGTCTCCCATGTGCATGCAGGATCACAAGGACCATCTTCTGCTGCTTTCTGAGGCTCATTAGGAGAGAGCTGGATCAGAAGTGGAGCAGGGGCCAGCATAGCGACATAAAGGGTAAAGCCTCCACCTAAAATGCCTGCATCTCACAAGTTCCAGACTCAGCTGCTCCATTTCCAATCCAGTTCCCTGTTGATGGCCTGGGAAAAGCAGTAGAAGATGACCCAAGTACTTGGGCTCCTGCTACCCACGTGGGAGACCTGGAAGAAGCTCCTGACTCCTGACTTCAACCCTGCACAGCCCTGGCTATTGCGGTCATATGAGGATTAAACCAATGGATAACAGATCTCTGTCTCTCTCACTCTCCCCCTTTCTCTCTATCTCACCTTCCTGTAGCTCTGATTTTCAGATAAATAAATCAAATTCGTAAAGAACTGTATTTGTCTCCACCTCTCTCTTGGTCTCTCTGCCTTTCAAATAAATCAATACATAAATCTCCATGAAAGAAAACAACTTCAGCTTGAATACATGATTAGCAATAACCAGTTTTAAAAAGATTTATCTATTTGAAAGGAAGAATTAGAGAGAGAGAGAGAGAGAGTTAGAGATATCGTCCATCTCCTGGTTCACCTCCCAAATGGCTGCAATGGCTAGGACTGGGCCAGGCTGAAGCCAGGATCTAGGAGCTTCTTCCTGGTCTTCCACATGGGTGCAGGGGCCCAAGCACTTGGGCCATCTTCTGCTACTTTTCCCAGGCACATTAGCATGGATCATGGATCAGTTGTAGAGTAGCTGAGACTCCAACCGGTGCCCAATGTCAGCACTGCAGACAGTGGCTTAATCCCCTGTGCCACAGTGCCAGCCCCACCTTCTCATGATTTGTGAGATAAACTTTTGAATCTAGGAATGTAAGTGATGGTTGCTATGCTGCTAAAAGGAAAAGAGAAAGGAAAGGAAAGGAAAGGAAAGGAAAGGAAAGGAAAGGAAAGGAAAGGAAAGGAAAGGAAAGGAAAAGAAAGGAAAGGAGGAAGAAAAGAAGGAGGAAGGAAGTAATGAAGGAAGGAAGGAAGAAAGGAAGAAAAAGGAAAAAAGGAAGGAAGGAAGAAAAATAAAGAGAGAGAAGAAGGAAGGAAGAAAAGAAAACACAGGGAAACCATTTTAATCTGTACATGTTGACAGCATACTATTTAAAATCAAGAACAACCTAGTGAAGCCCTCTTTTGCAATCTCTGTTAGACCTTGCACTGGGCACAACAGCCAGCACAGTAAGAAGATCCTCAATTGAATTACATTTCCAAATTATATTTCTCAAAGTTACTGAGAAAATCCCAGAAGGTGATAGACAAAATTTTTAAAGATATAATAGAGGATATCATGGTGGCTGAGTTGAAGATCATCATGCAATTGAAAAATCCAAATGCATTGTTATTATTCATACCCACATAAATTGACATTTTAAGCAGCAAATACAAGAGCAGCAACACTCTGTTGTGGGAACATGTAATAAATGTACATTATATGAATTTATAAAAGATAAAAATTAATCTAAACAGAAAGATTATGACTGTGAAGACCCACCAAAAAGGAGAGACATTCCAATCTGGTAGCTATCTTACAGAGAACCAATTTTCAGTAACCTGATATATTCAGAAAAAACACTAGAAATTCATGGCAACTGGGCTTTCAGGGAATCTGACATGCAGAAACGTGTGTGTGTGTGTGTGTGTGTGTGTGCAATAGTGATGATGGGTTTGGTGATGATCAGGAAGACACAGAGACTCTCCTGAGCAGATATCAAGATGGATGCTTAGGTGATACAAATTAAGACAGTGAGGTAATGGCATAGGAACATGGAAATCCGTGTGTACAACAGAGCAGGGAGCGCAGAACGTGAGACACGTGACTGGGCATCCAAATGTCTGTGACGTCAACAAATATTCGCTCAGGGGCAGAATCTGCCTTGAGAAGCTCTGCCATAGGAATATGGGCTGGCGCAAGAATGCGTACTGTTTATACATAAATTAGTGAAGGAGTTTAAGGTGTTGTAAACATGTATTCACTCAAGATGGTTCACAGTCTAAATAAGGAGCGTACCCTGGGCAAGAAAGGTGCCACAGGAGTTACTGGTGGTTCCGGTAGAGGCCACACTGGGACGAAGTGTGAGGCCCGGCAGATACCGAGTAGCGGCGGATCTGGAAGTGCATTGGTCGCCGGCCACTGGGTGGGGTAAGATACTGTACTCAAATCTTATTGGCCCATGTGGGAAGAACTGGAAATGGAGCCAGAGGGAGCCAGAGGGAGCCAGACAGAGCCAGAGGGGGCACCAGCAGAGGAATTTAGGATTCCCTCAGGTTCCCTTTTGAGCTGATTGAATCTGAGCTGCTGAAGGCTGGGTAACCAAAGGCTGGTGTCAAGAATTTGACCTTCTTTCCCCATACCTTGTTCCACACTACCTCTCTGCACACTGGACCCCTAACCCCTTGCCTGCCTTCACCTAGGTGGAGTCCCCTCCTGGGTCCTGAAGTCCTAACTCACTTGTAGCCCTCATGTGGAACCCCCTCTGGGAGGAGCCCTTTCCCTGGTTCCTGGTTACTAGCCATATGTCCCTGGCCATGATTTTGAGGAGGGGAGACGGTAAAGATTGTGATTTCTTAGGAGATGAGATAGGGCGTGCAGTGGGAGCTGGGCTGTGCAGTTTCCACTGCTTGTGCATGTAAAGTCTGTGGAAGAGAGTAGGAAGCTGGTGTAGGCAGTGCATGGGTTTGTGTGAGTGCAGAGAGGATTGGGGGTCCAAGAGGAAAACTGGTGCAATGAGGAGATAGAAGCATGGTGGCCAGGGCTGGACCTGGCTTCTTAGGCCTTGCAATGAATATTATTGAGTGATGAATCCAAGGAATGACAGAGGGGATAAAAGAAAATAATAACAGAAATAGGGCCAGGGTCCTGGAGTACAGTAAGGCATTCTGGGGAGTGAGACGGTAATCAATTTAAAGGCAAGGGGTGAGGGGAGGAAGTAAGGAAGAAATCAAGATTATGGTGGAGTACAAGAAAAAAAGTCAGAATGGTATATGAGGGGGAAACTGAACGTTGTGCATACTTGAGTCTGATAATACAATCCAGTGCAAGGGGCATAAACACATGTGTGTCAGTACATGAATGCAGGAGTTTAGGAAGACAATTGTTGATGTGGATGTCAGGAATGCTTGCTGTGTTTGGCAGTGTGCAGGGTGATCCATCAGGAGGCAGGGTAGTGATTGTTCAAGGGGACCAGGAGTGCATATGTGTCCCTTAAAAGTGACTCACCTACAGAAGGGTTAATGCGAGCAAGGATGACAAGGATCAGGAGAAGAAGGTATGCATGACTGGAGTTCCCTCTGAAGGAGGCTACAGTAGTAATTAGGTTAGTGTGGGAAGGTTGGACAAAGCCAACTTTCATTGGAAAAAAGGGAATGGGCTGTCTGTTAAGAATGGTGAGTAGGACTGAAAAGGGAGATGCAACTCTTGAACATGGTTTTCCAAAGACAGAAGAAGGATGGTGGAAATAGGAGATCACGTGGCCATTCTGACCTCTGCTTCTGATCCTAGAAATATGGAACCCCAAGAAATACATGCTGTACACAGCTGCCCCTCCAACTTCAAGTACACTGGAACACATGAGACTGGAGAACCGTGGGGATTTGAACCTGGCCCCAGAGGAGCTGTAGGTCTTTGCCTCTGCTGTCACAACCATGGCATCGCTGCCCAAACTATGGGCCAGGAGCATGTCTGCCTCTTCCACGCCTGTCAGTGTCACAACTCTGTCTTTTTCTTGTGAGTATGGTGTCTGACAAGGAGAGGGATTGGGTCTTTTCTAAATGTGACTAACATTAGAATTGAAATCTCTTTTTTTAGGGAACCTTGCAAGGCCTTGCCTACTATGACTACCCTGAAGAGGGAACAGGGGGCACAGAATCACCTGACTCTTGGTATGATCAAGAGCATGGCTATTGCTCCCAGGACTCACCTCTATGTCAAGAATATGGCCATGGAAGCAGCAGTGCACCGTAAGTGGATAGCCAGGAAGTGGGCCTGAGTTAGGGTGGAGGAAACGTGAGTAGTTCAGTCACTAGCCCAATCACGGAATTGTGGTGCAGCCTTGGTAAATTTACTGGTTGGCTCATAGCTTGCCTAAATATAAACAGTCATCAATGTTGTCAAGCAAGTGTTTGTAGAAAGGAAAGATCTGGGGAGTAGGTGGTGGGTAAGAAAGTTCCACGGTGAGATGAGAACTCAATTTGGGGCTATACCTGAGAGACATGGGGTTGATGTGGTGAGGGGAGAAGCAGAGGTTAAACAAAGTGCTCCCTTGTCTTTCACAGATGGGAAGATGAACACTATGCCCCAGCCACAGGCCTGCCCTTGCTACATCCCCAGTCAGGTAAGGAGAGTCTGTTGCCAATTGGGAAAGCTCCCATCCATCCATTGCCCACATGCTTTCTACTTGTCCCAAAGGCATGGATTCCATCTGCAACACTAGGGCCCAATTTCCCTTGTTGCAAAAGGCATGATCGACTGGCTGGTCTTGAAGGCCTTTAGAATTCCATGGTTATGGGATCCTATCTTCATCTCGAAACATGCAGACTCTTACTTTCCTGGACAGTCTCACACCTGACTGAAGCTTGTGCTCTCTGGCCCTGCAGGGGATACCCCCAGGGATGTTGCTGTTAAGCCATCCGCCAGAACTTACATTTCTGCCCTGCGCTCCAGTGACCACAGAGCCACCACAGATGTTTGCTATTTGTGGTCAGCCCCATGGGCCCACTCTTCTGCCTGGCACGTGAGTACAGTGCTAGCCATGAGCTGGTTGTGTCCTGTGCTGTCATGTGCCAAACCTTGTTCTTGATACTGTGAATTAAGAAGAAGCAGGGGAGAAAGAGCAGAAGGAGGAAAAGGAAAAAGTTAAGGCCAAGGAGAAGGCAGGATCTGAAACACATGCAAGGTCAGGGCTCTCCCAGCTTTGCTGTTACCCATTTGTGAGACCTTGGACCAAGGACTTTATGTGTCCCAGCCTCCATTTCCTACCTCTGTTCTGAGGGCAATAATTGTATGTACAGATCATTGAAAAGAAGACTATGAAGAGGCCTGCTATGTCATCAGCGTTCAGCTATCTAAGGAAGTTGTTCCAGTTTATCAGATGGACAGGCTTAAAGACCTATGCTTCAAAGCAGGGTCCTGATAGGGAGGGCCATTAAAGGCCCTTAGGAAACTCCAGGGGTCCATTTTAGGAAGAATGTGTGGGTGAGGCAAGCTTCTCCTTCAAGGTCCATGGGTATCAGGCAACATGGAGATGAGAACCAGTCCTTGAATAGGGATGACAATAACATCTCTCCAAGGGCTTTGCAAATTAAAACATGGCCACCTGTGCTTTCCCATCATCTTCCCTGAGGGCCATAGGGAGAAAGGCTGGCAGCAGTTAGAGTCTCAGGATACATATGCAAAAGAGGTGTGGAACCATAAACAGATGGAACAGGAAGAGAGACTTGCTCAAGCCACAACAATATGGTCCCATGGGCCTTTGGATTGCAGACAAGAAACTCTGCCCCACTTTCTGTGTACTGATGCTATGTGTCTGCCAGAGGGTTTAATCCCCTGGCCTCTCCTCTCCTTGTTTGCAGATGCTCAAGACTGATCCTTCAGCCTTGTGCCACCCTTGACCCTCGTCTACTGCAGCCACAGGTTCTGGGGAAGGTGTGGGGTCCAGAAACCTGGTGTGGGCTGAGCTTACGTGACGTGGGCAGGAGCAGGTTGGGGGGTGGTTGAAGGGAATATGGGTGTGAAGGGACACTTGTCTCATTGGGAGGAGGTGTGGCTTTCCAGCACTGTTCTCTGATGGCCTTTCTTTCCAGGTCCAGAAAGGCTCTGAGCAAGATGTGGTTGCTGCCTCCGAGTGTCAGCGGAAGCTGGAGGCTGCTGAGGCACTGTTGGCTCTGAAATACTCTCGCCCAGTGCCAACTGACTCCACCACTCTGGCCCAGCCCTGTGGCCCTCCAGGTAGCAGGCCCTTGAAAGGGCACCCCAAAGGTGGGGATAGTTGGGAGAGAGCAATAGGTGGGTTGAGGTGAGCAGGAATCAGCAGTTTCTAACTGGGAAATCAGGTTCAGTGGGTTGACTTTCCTTGGTTCTGGGTATATGGCTCCTCAGTGTGATCCCTGATATGGTACCTGAGCGTTGCCCAGTGGACTTTGAGAATGTCAAGCTTTGTGTTCTGTGATGCGTTCTGTGTCCTGAAGTCAAGCAACAAGGAAACTGAGCCTCTGAGAGAGGCAGGTACTTGCTCTATTACATGTGCATAACAAGTGGGAGAACCAGGTTCTTGATCTCAGTGCAGTACTCTGTCCTCAGACAACTGTGGTCTGCTGTGGCCTGGGTAAGACACATAGAGGTCTAAAGGGCTTGGTCTGGTACCTGCCGTTAGGGTCTTTTGGTCTAATCTCCATGTGGAACTTGGCTGCCATCTCACTTTGAGTTGTGCAACCAAACCTCAATGATTTTTCCAAAGAAGATGGGCTGTACGAGCTCTTAGTAGGAGAAACACCTGGGAGTCTGAGGATCAGGGCTAGGCACCCTCAGACAAGGCTGGTATGTGGGTGTATAAGTGAAACAATAGATCTGAAAGAACTGCCGGGACAGAAGAGTGCAAGCTGCACAGGTTACCAATCATAGAGTGTGATGCCTGACCAGAGATTGCAGGTGGTGAGGAGCAAGGGATTCTTTTTGAACTAGAGCTAGAAGAATATTCCCAGATACTGGGCTTGGCAAAAAGGCATGTGGTGACTATTGTTGATGGGTTGAAGCAGGCAAGACTGAGATACGGAAAACAGAGGAGTTTCAAAGCTTGTGCAGTAATCATGGTGACGAATCTATGATGGTGCTGGAAAACCAAGAGGGGAGACCAGGGAGAGGATGTGGATATGACCTGGCTCTGAATCCATCCTTTCTGTCTATAGCTCCTGCTGGAGAAAGAACACTGCAATCTCCCATTCCTGCTGAGTGCCCCAGGCCAGCCACCTCCAACTCACTGCCTGGTGGACATCTGGGCTGCATCTGAGTTAGGATCCCAAAGGATGAGGCATGGTTAGAGCTGCCTATATGATTTGCTGTTTTGAATTGCACAATCATTAGTGCTAAATGAGGAACATCATTTGTTAGAGCATTTTTTAGACTTCAGGCATTTTTTAGACTTGCAGAGCCTTATTAATACGTGGAGGAATTCTTTGGTTGAGGTTCGATACTCTTGTACCTCCATAGCTTACTCCTTTGGATACTTGCATCTTTTTTTATGTCTCTTATTAAAAACAGAATTATATACCCTTACCAGATGAATCTGTCATGGGGTTTGCATTAAGTTCATGTGTTGATTTTTTAAAGAAATTATCGACATACTCTGTACATTCACACCTGTATTTATGGTGGCTTCACTTTGTATCTAGGTTTGTGTGAGTGAATAGATAATAACATCTAGCTGTAAGGCATGGGATGTATGAGTCTTTGGTAACCATACCAGAATTTAGACAATCCTGACTGTAATATACATGTTCAACTCATGATTCAAAATGAGTATCACCTTCCCTTATAAGTGGGATTTCTTATCTAGACTAGATAAGAAGACAATAGAGGAAAAAGTAGTGACATTTATTCACTGTGCGATTGAGTATCTGTCCTCATCTGGAATAGCAAGTTTCCAGTTTCCAGAGGACTGGGAGTGGCAACAACCACAGGATCAAGCAGATCACATTATAGCAGGCCCTACTGGCTGTGGACAACTGACAGTATATGCTCTCCCTAATAGGGAAGCAGCTGCGTGCTGCAAGGTATTTGTTGTGTGCACTAAGGTGAATGCATTGTTAGCAATGTGCAGATTTTATTAGAGAAAATGATATTCTGGATTTGTATGTAAAGTTACTAAATTTGTCAGTGGTGGCTGAGGTTTCTTCTTTTAGTACTCTGTGAGTGAAACCAACATCTCTGGCCAATGGCATGCTGGTTTACTTAGGGTACAACGTGAATCAATGTTAGGGGAATTGCGACCAATCAAGATCATAAGAATCAGAGGGATAATGAGTTCCACCCAGCTCCTATTTTGAAGTATTAATGCAGTATGAGGAAGTGCTGCTGTTTTTTTTTTTATTTTTTTATTTTTTGACAGGCAGAGTGGACAGTGAGAGAGACAGAGAGAAAGGTCTTCCTTTTGCCGTTGGTTCACCCTCCAATGGCCGCCGCGGCCGGCGCATCATGCTGATCCGAAGCCAGGAGCCAGGTGCTTCTCCTGGTTTCCCATGCGGGTGCAGGGCCCAAGCACTTGGGCCATCTACTTACTGCTTTCCCAGGCCATAGCAGAGAGCTCGATCAGAAGTGGAGCAGCCCGGTCTTGAACCAGTGCCTGTAGAGGGTGCTGACACTGCAAGCGGCAGCTTTACCTGCTATGCCCAGAAGTGTATTTTTGTAATTACTTATTTGTTTGAAAGGCTGAGAGAGAGAGAGAGAGAGAGAGAGAGATCTTCCATCCATTTGTTCACTTCCAAAATGGCCCCAAAGGCTAAGACTGGGCCAGGTCAAAGCCAGGAGCCAGAAGCTTCTTTCAGGTCTTCCATGTGAGTGCAGGAGCCAAGGACTTGGGCCATCTTCTCTCTGCTTTCCCAAGCACATTAGCAGGGAGCTGGATCAGAAGTGGAGCAGCCAGGACATGAACTGACACCCATGTGGGATGCTACCATTGCAGGTGATGGCTTTACCTGCTCTGTCACAACACCAGCCCTGAAAGAAGCGTGTTTTGGTGAAAGGATGTGTCATGAGAAGAGGGGCGCTAAAGAAACTTAGTGATGCAGGTTAGGGGAAGGAGTGATGCCCATTTTCCTGTGCCTTTTCCTTTATCTGAGACACAACTCCATTTCCCTGCAGAGCTTTTCAGATGTGCCACTGGTACAACATCCACCCACTCACCCACCCACCCCCCCCCCCCCCCCCCCCCCAGAGATTTGTGTCACTTTTTAAATAGTCTCAATGGCATATTTGGGGGAATCTGAGGACATCTTTGTAAATAGTGTTTTTTTTTTTTTGTTATTTCCCTTTGGGATGTACTACTCCATTTCATAGATTTAAGACTTCACCAGACAGAGCACTATGGGTCGTGCCTTGGCGCTCTCTTTTTTTTTAACTTTTATTTAATAAATATAAATTTTCAAAGTACAGCTTTTGGATTACAGTGGCTTTTTCCCGCATAACTTCCCTCCCACCTGCAACCCTCCCATCTCCCGCTCCCTCTCCCATCCCATTCACATCAAGATTCATTTTTAATTATCTTTATATACAGAAGATCAATTTAGTGTATATTAAGTAAAGATTTCAACAGTTTGCCCCCACACAGAAACACAAAGTGTAACGTACTGTTTGAGTACTAGTTATACCGTTAATTCACATAGTACAACACATTAAGGACAGAGATCCTACATAGGGAGTAAGTGCACAGTGACTCCTGTTGTTGATTTAACAATTGACACTCTTGTTTATGGCATCAGTAATCAACCTAGGCTCTTGTCATGTGTTGCCATGGCTATGGAAGCCTCTTGAGTTCGCCAGCTCCGATCTTATTTAGACAAGGCCATAGTCAAAGTGGAAGTTCTCTCCTCCCTTCAGAGAAATGTACCTCCTTCTTTGATGGCTTGGCTGGCTCTCTTATGTTATGGAATGGCATCAGTTCAATCTGAGCATATCCAACAAACCAGAGCACAGGCAGAGTGAATCGATTTCAATCAGTATTGTGAAGGAAAAGGTTTTAATAACAGCTTATTAGGACATAGGGGAGAGAGGGAAATGCTCTAAGTTGTCACATTTGCACTTTTTAGATAACAAAGGGTTGTCCATGAATGCAGAGCTGAAAGGCCAGTGTTGTGTCACAGTAGGTGAATACACTGCTTGCAATGCAAAGCATTCCCTATATGAGAGCCAGTTCCAGCCTGGCTGCTGGAATTTCAATGCAACTCCCAACTTATGTGCCTAAGTAAGCACTAGGCGATAGCTCAAGTACTTGGGCCCCTGCTACTCACGTAGGAGACCCAAATGATGTTCCTGGTTTGTGGTTTGTTCTGGTCCAGTCCTGGCCATTGTGGGCATTTAGGAAGTGAACCAGAGTATAGAAGATCTCTCCATCTCTGTCTATCTCTCTGTCACTCTCTCTCAAGTAAATATCTAAGCTAAAATGGATGAAGAAATTGGGATGTAATATACTTCCACCATTCAGGTACAATAAGTATAAACCACAGAACATGTACAATAGTAGAACGCATGTAAATAATTAGGTATTTCTGAACTTCAAGCATGTGTCACATGTGTTTTCAATACAATAGATGTGACTGTGAGTTGACAGAACTTAGTTTTTAATAATGTCTCTATTCAAGCCCTGATTCTCAGGACTCCTATAAACTTAACAGTCAGCTCTGGTATTCCAATAACAGCCAGCTCCAGAACTCCCTGCTTTCAATCTGCTCAGAGAGACTCCTCTTTCATTGTAGGTCCTATTAACAGTTCTGGGCCATGAAGACCTGCTACAGCTGGTTTCTATCCAAGAACAGCTTATCGTTGGTGGTAATGTATAATTTCTTACTAACAAATGTAAAGATCTGGCACAAATATTGATCAGAAGGAAAGTCAAAAATATTTGAAAATCTCCAGTAGAAGAAAGATACAGGAGCAGGTACAGTTACAAGAAAGTTATAATTTTGTATATTAGAATTTGAAGGCAAAATCTGGAACTGTAAACTACAAATCTATGTTAATGGGTGTACAATATGTAAGGAAATAAACTGCAACCTCAATGGTTATATGGGGCTGGAGCTATTAATTGGTAGACTTCTGCTATGGAATGCAAGTGTTTGTTATCGGTTTCAAAGAGAATGCCACAAAAATGTGTTTATGTAATGGCTACATTTAATATTGCTGCAGATTACATGTCAATGAAAATGAGAAGGGAAGCAATGCTGATTACTGGAAACGCTGGTGCAGGTGCAGAGTGATGAACAAGGGGTGAGACATGAAGCAGAGAGAGAAAATAAATCAAACTTGGTCTCAATTAATCATCAATTCTCTCATATGGACCACTCTCTGAGAGCATGACTCCAATGTCTAGATACCTCCCACCAGACCCAACTCCTATCTGCCACAGTTTGAACAGGTCGCTACTATTAATGCATCCAGCACTAATATTAAGACATCAGAGTTTAAACACTTACTTGAGTGTTTAGGAGACAAGACCAGCTGTACCTGTAAAAACTGACATGTAGCAGAGTTCCCCTTGTTTCACATGTTTCAAGATACTGGTCTTGTCAGTCTGTGTCACTGTTGCTTCAATTTTTTTTCTTTCCTTGATTTTATGTGTAGGGGGCAGACTGGATTATGTTCATAGTTCTTGGAATATTCTCATTTGATAGTTTCCCTATCAAGCCAATAGTGTTTTTCACTTTGGTGTGTGGGAACACTTCAAACATTTTAATATGCTTCCTTTCCCTGTTATAGAAGTTGAAAATATTTGCACTCCTTTTCCATTTTAAATTTAATGGTGAGTTCTTTCATTTGGATGTATGTCCTCGAAGATTTATTTAATTCTCAAAAGAGTTTTGTGAGATTTTTCATACTAAACAATGACACTTATGATTTAGGCAAACCAGGGTCAGAGATGTGAGTTGCCCCAGAATTCTGATGTGGCATCCTGACCCAGAATGTAGGACTGTAAATCCAGTGATTGCCCCCCCCCTTCTGCCTCTGAGTGCTGCCCAATGGGGAGTATAGAAAGAGGGGTGTGTTGGGAAGTGAGAACACCTATCTGGGCAGATTCTCATCTTGCGCACTCCCAGCACCTTAAAGTGAATCATGCCCCCAAAGAAGTATGTGCTCAGTGAGGACTTGCTGAAGAGTCTGTGAATTGCTCCTACCTAAGAGCCAATGCCCACGGGGCATTCTTGCTCCCAAGATGCCTTGGTCTGAGTGAAAGGTGTTGTTATGGCTAGTCCTCACACTAGAATCACAGGGAAGTTGAGTCCCCAATGTAACTGATGTATGGAGGCTGAATAAGCCATTTGTGTGAGTTACAGCTGAGCCTGAGACATTATAGCTACTCACCCTGCAAAGGTAGCATCCCACATGAGTCATAGGGATATTCCTGTACCTCTCCATTCCCTTTCCAATTCTGCAAAAAATATAATTGTC